AAAAAAAGCAAAAAGGAAAGCCGAACATTTTTCCCGTAAGCTAGCCCAGCTCGTGCCTTCGATAGTGGCGGTTTCTTGCCTTCATTGTTCATCGCCGTCTCTTCATCCTCAGCCAGATGCTTCGCGTCCCCAGCATTTTTACCTGCCGCGCCTCTGAGATTCCTTTCGACCATCATTCCCTTAGCTCTGATCGGGGGTTTGATGTTCTCGATAGCCTTTGCTTCCGTTACCTTCATCGCTCCCTCTGCAAACCGTCCTACCTCTGCCTTTTTGGCCCTGGTCGGAGGTTTGGCGCCCTCGACTTTCCCGCCTCTAACTGCCAGTTTCGCTGGAGGTTCCATCGAAAATGTGGTAGTGCTGAAAATCATTTATAAAATTAGTGTGAATTCGATTTTAAACTTATAAGCCAAGATACAGCTAGACCTGAGAACGAACTTCCAGACATTCAGTTCTGCCAGTTCTTGGTCTTTCGAGGATAAAACCTATCTAGAAGTGCTGGGAGTATCGGAGAAAAGTTTATCGTGAGTTAGAACACTGCTTTCCCCTCATCCAAGAAAGTCAGGAGGGTAGATCTAAGTCGTTTCTCCTGGGCCTTCAAGTTTCGTAATCATCGGTCGTTTACACATACCATGGTAAAATCTTAAATCAAAAGAGCATCTTGGTGCACCAAAGGACTGAGGAACCTTCAAGTGCTTTTCCGATGAAGCTACCATCCACTGAACATAGTCGTTATTTTAACGCGCTACCAAGTCGAACAGAGCCTGGATAAAATGAAACAAGCAAAACAGCAACGGACGGATGGTATCCATTCAGCTCGTACCCAGTCAATGTTGAAGCGGAAATCAAAATGCTTACATTCCACAGAACCAACCAACTCCCACAAAACCCCACTATTAAGTGGAGAAATATCTCGCCCCGGCATTCTTATAAAGGCCCTTTCAAGAAACGCAGAAATTAGAATACGCCCACCTGTGAAGTGAATGCCCCCACCTGTGAATGCAAATGCAAAAACGCATATTGTGACAATCCATCAAATATGTGTATTTCTGTGTATATGTAAGTGTATGTGTGTGTATGTGTATGTATGTGTGTGT